AAATGGTGTTGTCATTTTTATGGCTGAATAGTATTCCACTGTATAAATATACTACATCTTCTTTATCCAGTCATCTGTTGATGGACATTTAGGCTGTTTCCATGTCTTGGCTATTGTAAATAATGCTGCTATGAACATTGGGGTGCAGGTGTCTTTTTGAAGTAGAGTTCCTTCTGGATAGATGCCCAGGAGCAGGATTCCTGGGTCATATGGTAAGTCTATTCTTAGTCTTTTGAGGAATCTCCACACTGTTTTCCACAGTGGCTGCACCAACCTGTATTCCCACCAGCAGTGTAGGAGGGTTCCCTTTTCTCCACAGCCTCTCCAGCATTTATTTGTGGACTTTTGAATGATGGCCATTCTGACTGGTGTGAGGTGATACCTCATTGTAGTTTTGATTTGCATTTCTCTGATAATTAGTGATATTGAGCATTGTTTCATGTACCTATTGATCATTTGTATGTCTTCCTTGGAGAATTGCTTGTTTAGATCTTCTGCCCATTTTTGGATTGGGTTCTTTGTTTTTTTCTTATTAATTCATATGAGCTGCTTATATATTCTGGAGATCAAGCTTTTGTCGGTTTCATCATTTGCAAAAGTTTTCTCCCATTCTGTAGGTTATCGTTTTGTTTTACTTATGGTTTCCTTTGCTGTGCAGAAGCTTGTAAGTTTAATTAGGTTCCATCTGTTTATTCTTGCTTTTATTTCTATTGTGTGGGTAGACTGTCCTGGGAGAACATTTCTGAGATGTATGTGAGATGCTTTGCCTATATTTTCTTCTAGGAGGTTTATTGTATCTTGTCTTATGTTTAAGTCTTTGATCCATCTTGAGTTTATTTTTGTGTATGGGGTGAGGGAGTGTTCTAGCTTCACTGATTTACATGCTGCTGTCTAGTTTTCCCAACACCATTTGCTGAACAGATCCTACCACTAATTCTTGGTGTTCTAAACCAGGACCTTAGAACTTATACTTTATGAAGCACTTCAAACGATTCTGATTCAAATGACTCATTGGATAAAATTTAAAATATACTGGTTTACACTAAATTGCCCCAAATGCATATCCTATTGCAGTTTCCTGTGTTTGCCCTTTCTGACTGCAATTCCTGATGTTCTTTATTATCATTATCTCCTTTTAGTAGCTCCCTAGCATCCTAGATCTCCTATCTAGTAATTCATCAATTTTCTCAATTATATGCTGTGTTTGAAAATAGTTAAGCATATTAGTTATATCTCAACAGTGTTTAAGAGGACTTCTTTAAGAATATTGTCTAGTTTTGTTGAATTATCTCTGAGAAATTAATTTTGACTTCTTAACTGCCATATTTGACTTTCTAATTTTTTTTAAATGTTACTTTACTCAGTGTTCAGTGTAGAGTAATCTCGTTGGACTTCTGGATTAAAAGGCATTTCTGTATACTGTTTATCAAACAGATATTTGTTACTGTTAAATATTGGAGTCTATCATTATGTGATTCTTTGAATTACCGAACTCAGTAAAATCATAAAACATGTAAATATTTAAAAATATTTAGCCCACCAATAGTATCTGTACTATAAAACCACTGAGTGTTAATGCTGATTAAGACTTCAGAAATTATGTAGTCCAACATTTTCACTTCACAGGTGAATAAACTAAGATCCAAGATCTAGTGAACTTTCCAAAGTAATACAAGCATACCTAGAGTTGCCCAGCACTTTCACCTTACCACCGAAGCGTCCCAATTCCCTGTATCTCTTAATTATTTAACACATATTGAATGTTTGCAATGTGTCCAGCACTGTTAAATCATTGAGAATAAAAGACAATGTGAAATTTACATTAAGTGGGATAGGAGTATTTTGATAGTTTTTAGTGGTGTAAAAAAACTTTTTTTAACTATCCAATCTTAATTCAGAAATGGAAAGGGACCAAGGTCCAGCAACTTGGTTGTTTATGGATATAAGCAAAATTCCTTCCCAAAGTGAAATTCTGCTAGTTATCACCCTTTATTCAGGAATAACATAAAACAACCGTGTCTCAAATATTTATATACATTCCATAGTAATTTAGTTTCTAAAATATTTTCTGTATGATAAGGCTTCTTTAAACATAAATGCATCCATTTATTCTTAGTTTATTACATCTATACCTTAGTATAAACAACCAGAAGCTTTTAAAAACAATTTTACTTCTCTACATTCCTTAACAGTTATCACTTACATGCTCCTACCAATAAGTACATCATTTTTGTCTTGTTATAGATCCAACAATTTGTACTGCCTCCACGGTGCTCAGCATCCCCAAAGATACAAGAATTGTCTCTTAATATTTTAAAAACTATTTGTCCAGGTATAGTCCCTATGAAAAATGCAGTGATTGTAAATTCTCCATGAAAACACTATAGGTTGGGGTCAGAATAATTTTTATCCTAAAATCAAACCTATATTTAGTCATCATCACCATAAACATATCATTTAAAATTATCTAAGAGTTTACTTATTGATAGGATTGTTAATAACTGGAAACATAACTGTTTTTGAAAAACCCTTATTTCCGTAGATATTAAGAAAACACTAGTAGATTTCATCTTTTTTAGAATGGTATGCATGTTGTTTAGTTGACACACATCAAAGTTTTTGTTAATTTCTCAATGAAAAATGTAAGAGAAAGTATTTAAAACAGAGATACTAAATACTGATTTTGTGAACTCAGTGC